TCTTTCTTTCAACCATATTTTGATTGCTAATACGATATATAAATATAACAACGCCAACGAAAACTAGTAAAACTCCCTTAATCTTGATTGATCTATTTCTTTTTGAACCTTGCAAATTAGGTGAAAGTATAAGACTCCAAATTTGTGGGTCAAACAGTTTTAAAAATCGTTCTTGGGAGACTAAAATATGAATTGAAAATCCGATTGCATTCAATTGGGTCCATGAATCTAAAAAATATTTTGATTTTTTAATCTCTCTCAGTATCTCTCGTAACTCGAAAATCCAGAACTTTTCTGGCTTAGGATTCATTTCATACCTCCCTAAAATTTTGTATAAAGTATTAAAAAGTATTAATACTTTTATTATTGTATTCTATATTGTATATCTATTATATCATATTATTATTATATATAAATATAATATTATATAATTAAATATTAAATATAGAAGATAAAAGAAATATAGAAGATAAAAGAAATCTAGTTTTTGTTTAGTATTTCAGATTTCATAAATTCTTTATCTAAACGACATTTTTTGCTGTAATTCAATGTAATTAAATATTCCAAGATTAAAAATTGCCATAATTATTCTATTTTAATTTTCAATTTTGATAGATGATGGTCTCGTTTAAGCATCCATAGCTAAGTGGTTAAAGCGCCCAACTCATAATTGGCGAAGTCGTAGGTTCAATTCCTACTGGATGCACATTATTAGTCATTTACACAAAACAAAATATTATTGACCCTCCAATTCTTCTTTTTGTGATATTTTAGGCTATATGATATATATTAACATAGATCTACTTTGAGCATTTCCTTCATAATCCATATCAAATATCATATAAGATATATATGCTCCTAGATAAATTTGTCCATATCAAATCAATCAAATATCATATAAGATATATGTTCCTAGATAGATTTTATTTTGACTATTTCCATTTCATATATCATTTTCATATATCATAATAGATAATTCTAGGATACCAATACATATAGAGAATATATATCTATATTAGATATATATATATATCTATATATATATATAGGAACACTTAATATAGGAACACTTATTCACAAAAACATTCTTTACTCGAACTAACTAGTTTCAACTTAAACTAATACTCAAATTCGGGATGGAATAAAAGATATAGTATTTACAGAAAAACGGATTTAGTTATTAAAATATTAAAAAATAATAAATAGTTTTTTTATGTCCACGTCATAAACTTTGAGTAGTGCTACGCTTCTGGCAAAGGGTCACATAATGGTAGGCCCTCCTATTAGAGGACATATAATGCAATGGCTACCGCAGAGAATTAGACGTATGCCTCCAAACAAATAAACTTTCAATCCAAAATAAAAATCATTAATATCATGGGAATAAAATTATACAAAACTGATAACCGAGCGAAACCGTAAACAGCCCAAAATTTGCTCGAAGGAAAAATTTGCTCTCTGGAAAGCATCATTGTGGTAAAGGTCGTAATGCTAGAGGAATCATTACATCAAGGCATAGGGGGGGGGGGTCATAAGCGCCTATACCGTAAAATAGACTTTCGACGGAATGAAAAAGACCTATATGGTAGAATCATAACCATAGAATATGACCCCTAATAGAAATGCAAACATTTGTCTAATACATTATCGGACTGGTGAAGAAGTATATTTTACATCCGAGAGGGGCTCAAATTGGAGATACGATTGTTTCCTTTTGGTACAGATGTTTCAATCAAAATTGGAAATACCCTACCTTTGACCGAAATCCCCTTAGGCACGACTATACATAACCTAGAAATCACACGTGGAAGGGGTGGACAATTAGCTCGAGCAGCGGGTGCAATGGCGAAACTGATTGCAAAAGAGGGTAAATCAGCCACATTAAAATTACCTTCTGGCGAGGTCCGTTTTATATCCCAAAATTGCTCCGCAACAATCGGACAAGTCGGAAATGTTGGGTTCAACCAAAAAAATTTGGGTAGAGCTGGAGCTAAACGATGGCTAGGTAAGCGTCCTGTAGTTAGAGGAGTAGCTATGAACCCCGTAGACCATCCACATGGGGGCGGTGAGGGTAGAGCCCCTATTGGGAGAAAAAAACCTACAACCCCTTGGGGTTATCCCGCACTTGGAAGAAAAACTAGAAAGAGGAATAAATATAGTGAGAAGCTCATTCTTCGTCATCGCAGTTAATATAATATATTATAGTATCAAAATTAATAGAATAGAGCAAATTAAATTTCTTCATTCAATTATATGAAAAATAAAAAAATAAAAGAATAATAAAATTTATAGGAGTAAACTGTGGCACGTTCACTAAAAAAAAAATCCCTTTGTATCTCAGAATTTATTAAAAAAAATTGAGAAACTTAACATAAAGGGAGAAAAAGAAATAATAATAACTTGGTCCCGGGGATCTACTATTATTCCAATAATGATTGGTCATACTATTGCGATTCATAATGGGAAAGAGCATCTCCCTATTTATATAATGGATCATATGGTCGGACACAAATTGGGAGAATTTGCAACTACTTTAAATTTTCGAGGACATGCAAAAAATGATAATAGATCTCATCGGTAATGTGAATACTAAAAAATATCTTGATGCTTATGAGTCATTAGTAGGAGGCAAACTTTATGTACCAGATGCTAAATAAAAAAACCCCAGAAGTATACGTTTTAGGTCGACGTATAGCTATGTCGGCTAATAAAGCAAGAAGAGTTATTTATCAAATTCGTGGGCGTTCCTATGAGGAAACACTTATTATATTAGAACTCATGCCCTATCGTGCCAGTTATCAAATTTTAAAATTGGTTTATTCAGCCGCATCAAATGCTAGTTACACTATGGCTGCAAATAAAGCAAATTTAGTTATTAGTAAAGCTGAAGTGAATGAGGGGACTGCTCGAAAAAAATTAAAACCTCGGGCTCGTGGGCGTAGTTATCCAATAAAAAGACCGACCTGCCATATCAGTATTGTACTAAAAGATATTTCATTCAATGATTCTGAATCTGTGGAGCTCGGTTTGCTAAAAAAACCACAAGCGAAAAAAAAATTCTAGAACTAAAGCATATTCTGATATCCAGAATAGGAGGTATTTATGGGACAAAAAATAAATCCACTTGGTTTCAGACTTGGTACAAACCAGGCCCATTATTCACTTTGGTTTTCAAAACCAAAAACGTATGCTGAAAATCTGCAAGAAGATCAAAAGATAAGAGCTTTTATCAAAAATTATGTACAAAAAAATAGAATCAAACCCTCGGCTACCGAGGGAATTGCAAGTATATATATTAAAAAAAGACTCGATCTAATCCAAGTCATAATATATATGGGATTTCCAAAAATATTTATGGAAAATAGCCCACAGGGAGTTGAAGAATTACAAAAAGCTCTACAAAAAAAATTAAATTTTGTAAACCGAAAACTGAATATTGCTATCACAAAAATTGAAAAACCGTATGGAAATCCTAATATTCTTGCCGAATTTATAGCTGGACAATTAAAGAATAGAGTTTCCTTTCGAAAAGCAATGAAAAAAGCTATTGAATTAGCTGAACAAGCAGATACAAAAGGAATTCAAGTACAAATTGCGGGACGCCTTGACGGAAAGGAAATTGCACGTGTGGAATGGATAAGAGAAGGAAGAGTTCCCCGACAAACTATTCAAGCTAAAATGGATTATTGTTGTTATTCAGTTCGAACTATCTACGGGGTTTTAGGCATAAAAATTTGGATATTTTTTGATGAAGCTCAATAAAATTTTATTCATTCTTTTTACCTGTAATACCAAGCGGCCCATTTCACAAATTATTTTGTGTAATGAGCAGGAACAGTTCTAATTGATTTCTAATTGATAATAATGAATTCTATAAGGTTGAATAAAAATTTTATTTATTTTTTAATAAAAATATCATTGCTATGCTTAGTGTGCGACTCGTTCATTTTTTAAGGTTAGCATGAAACCAAACCCAAAGTAACAACTACTCACTCGAGAAGAAATTACCTAATAACTAACTCATCAATTTCGCATTATCTGGATCTAAATAACCAGTCATGATATGATTAGCGCTCATATCGTTGTAGCAATTGCCATTTATTTGCATAAACAAAAATTATTCAAATATTATTGAAGTTGCCAAGCAAGATATAAAAAAGATGTAGATAATTGGAAGGGAGAGAGAAAGGAAGAAAAATAAGCTCAATGATTGAAAATTCCAATATGTAGGGTCTAACAAAATAGGCAATGAAGCATTAATACTTAAATTCTGCATATTCAAGTATTTGAAATAGAATAAAAAATCTAAGAATATTCAATAATAAAAAACAATATACTCTTATTATAGAAATTAAATTATAGAATAGATAATTATTAGATAAATTTAAAGTAAAGAGCTTAAAGCCAATAAAGACTAAGAAAAATGGCTCAAGACTCAAATTATTCATATATTACTATTTGAGCTCCATTGTAAAATTAGGACCTAACCATTAAGTAAGAAGTGATGGGGACGACGGAACTTATGAATAAAAAAGATTCAATTTAAGATTAAATAAAAAAAATCTTAAATATTCACTGGCTGGGATGGCGAAATAAACCAATGTTAAATTATTTGATTTCTAGATAGTAGCTAGAAGATGTAACAGGCTCGTCCTAGAAATGAAATCTAAATTGACAGAGTCAATATTCGCCCGCGAAAACTTTTTGCAAAAGAATCAAAAAGCAATATAAAGACAATATTCAAGAATAGTCAAAAAGAAGGATTAGTTAGACTCAGAGAATCATGAAAAAAGTGTAGAATAAGTCATTTTATTTCAAATAGATTGAAAAAAAATATCACTCAATTCCTAAATATTATTTGGACTTCTCAGTCCATATTATTATTATAGATCTTATTATCTATATTTAGATTTGTAGTATTTATCTTAGTATCTATCTTTAGATTGAAGATTTAGATATCTTCACTATGATTAATCAATTTTAGTCAAAAGCTCATTTTGTAAATCCTTTATTCGTAATTCGCGAGGAGCTGGATGAGAAGAAACTCTCACGTCCGGTTCTGTAGTAGAGATGTAATAAATAAAAATCCATCAACTATAACCCCAAAAGAACCAGATTCCGTAAACAACATAGAGGAAGAATGAAGGGAATAGCTTCTCGAGGTAATCATATCTGTTTCGGTAAATATGCGCTTCAAGCACTTGAACCCGCTTGGATCACATCTAGACAAATAGAAGCCGGCCGACGGGCAATGACACGAAATGCACGTCGTGGAGGAAAAATATGGGTACGTATATTTCCTGATAAACCAGTTACTGTACGACCCGCAGAAACACGTATGGGTTCAGGAAAAGGATCCCCTGAATATTGGGTTGCTGTTGTTAAAACCCGGTCGGATCCTTTTTGAAATGGGTGGAGTAACAAAAAATATTGCCAGAAAAGCTATTTCAATAGCAGCATCGAAAATGCCGATACGAACTCAATTCATTATTTCGGAGATAGAATAGAAAATATCACTCTAAAACTACCCCCAAAGAATCTTAAGAATGAAACAAAAACAAAAAAATAAGTTTCGTTTTATGTTTGTGGACAAAAAATATTTCTTTTTTTCTTCGCCCTTTGCATTGTGAAAGAAAAGAATAAAAAAAAAATGCTATGATTCAATCCCAAACCCTTTTAAATGTAGCAGATAACAGCGGGGCTCGAAAATTGATGTGTATTCGAATAATAGGAGCTAGCAATCGTCGATATGCTTATATTGGTGACATTATTGTTGCTGTTATCAAAGAAGCTGTACCTAATATGCCTCTACAAAAGATCTGAAGTCGTTAGAGCCGTAATCGTGCGTACCTGTAAAGAACTAAAACGCGGCAACGGGATAATAATACGATATGATGATAATGCCGCAGTTGTTATTGATAAAGAAGGAAATCCAAAAGGGACCAGAATTTTTGGTCCAATCCCCCGGGAGTTGAGACAATTAAATTTTACTAAAATAGTTTCATTAGCTCCTGAGGTATTATAAAAAAAAATTCAAAAAAAAAAATGGAGTAGAATCTGTCTCACGTATATAATTTTAAGATTAAAATTAAAGTAAGATAAACACAATAATCCATAGACAATAAAAAAAAACACGTTGAGAATATAAAATTTTTGAGTCCCATAATTAGAGTTTATCATGGGTAGGGACACTATTGCTGAGATAATAACTTCTATACGGAATGCTGATATGGATCGAAAAAGAATGGTTCGAATCCCATCCAGTAATATTAACGAAAAGATTGTAAAACTCCTTTTAAAAGAAGGTTTTATTGAAAGTGTGAGAAAACATCGAGAAAACAACAAGAATTTTTTAGTTTTAACTCTGCAACATATCAAGACTAAAAAAAGGACCTTTAGCAATATTCTAAATTTAAAACGGATAAGTCGACCCGGTCTACGAATGTATTCTACGTCTAAAAAAATACCTAAAATTTTAGGCGGGATGGGGGTTGTAATTCTTTCTACTTCACGTGGTATAATGACAGACCGAGAAGCCCGACTGCAAAGAATCGGGGGGGAAATTTTGTGTTATATATGGTAATATTTTAAAGATCACAATAAAGAACAAAAATCACTTTCTTTTTTTTTTTTTAAGTTCTGTTTGTGAAAATAGGCTAAATCCTTTTTTAGTTTACTTCAGAACAAGTCGATGAATCTTTTGCAACACAACAATGATTCAAAGGAGTCGTTTCTCAACTTAGCTATTCATTTAGCAAGAATAACAAAATTATAAATTTAAAATAGAAAAAAATGAATGTATTTATTAGAATCTTCCAATAAAACCGAAACTCTAAAGTAAATTTAAAAGAAATGTAAGGAGTCTTTATATGAAAATAAGAGCTTCTGTTCGTAAAATTTGTGACAGATGTCGATTAATACGGAGAAGGGGACGACTTATAGTAATATGTTCCAATCCCAGACATAAACAACGACAGGGATAATAAGACTTCGCAACTTAACTTAGTAACTAAACCAATTCTATAAATGAAAGAATTGTGAAATGGATATATCCATATAGTGTATCGCTGACTCAGATTTAAAAAATGCTTAATGGTAAAATATATATCGAAAATTAGTTCGCGTAGAAAGGGCGGACGTAGTGGTTCACGTCAGAATGCACGTAGAATACCAAAAGGAGTAATTCATGTTCAAGCCAGTTTCCATAATACCATAGTGACTATTACAGATGTACAGGGACGGGTAGTTTCTTGGTCCTCTGCCGGTACTTCTGGATTCAAAGGAACCAGAAGAGGAACACCTTTTGCTGCTCAAAACCGCGGTAATAAATGCTCTTCGTAAAGTAATGAATCGAGGTATGCTACGAGCTGAAGTATTTATAAAAGGTCCCGGTCTCGGAAGAGATGCAGCATTACGAGCTATTCATAGAAGCGGTCTACTATTAACTTTTATAAGGGATATAACCCCTATGCCACACAATGGCTGTAGACCCCCCCAAAAAACGACGTGTGTAGAAATCAAAAGTGAACCTATATCAAGAGAAATAGAAGATTCACTAATATACTAAATCAAAATTTTTATGGTTCGAGAGAAAGTAGCAGTATCTACTCGGACACTACAGTGGAAATGTGTTGAATCAAGAATAGACAGTAAACGCCTTTTTTATGGCCGCTTTATCCTATCTCCACTTATAAAAGGTCAAGCCGATACAATAGGAATTGCGATGCGAAGAGCTTTACTGGGAGAAATAGAAGGGACATGTATCACACGTGTAAAATCTGAGAAAGCCTCGCATGAGTATTCTACCATAGGCGGGATTCAAGAATCGATACATGAGATTTTAATGAATTTGAAAGAAATTGTATTGAGGAGCAATCAATATGGAACTTGTGATGCGTCTATTTGTATCAAGGGACCTCGACATGTAACTGCCCAAGATATAATATTACCCCCTCATGTACAAATCGTTGATAACACACAACATATAGCTTGGTTGACAGAACCTATTGATTTTTTTTATTGGATTAAAAATAGAGAGAAATCGCGGATATTTCAACAAAGCGGACCTTCACTTTGACGATGGAATTTATCCTATAGATGCTCTATTCATGCCGGTTCAAAATGCGAATCATAGTATTCATTCTTATGGGAATGAAAAACAAGAGATACTTTTTTTGGAAATATGGACAAATGGGAGTTTAACACCAAAAGAAGCACTTCATGAAGCCGCCCGAATCTTGATTGATTTCTTTATTCCTTTTTTCCATATGGAAGAAGAAAGCTTATATTTAGCGGATGCGGAACACAAAATTCCCCTATCCTCCCTTATCTTTTATAATAAAGTGACTAAACTTATAAAAAAAAAAAAGAAA